TTCCTTTCCCCCACCAGATAAATGGCTTCCATTTGTCCAACCAGGCTAGCCCTAGGATCACAGTCTCAGTCATTTTTGGAGCCACTAGGAAGCAAATAAACTCCCAGTGCGCACCTATTTTTAGGCGTAAGGGCTCAGTTACTTGTGTGACAAGAGTCCCTCCCATCAGGGAGCCATCGGCTTGCTCAAACCTCATAGGTTTGGAAAGCTGTTTTGCCCGTATGCCCATTTTCATGGCAAACAGCAGACTAATAATGCAACGGGTGCATCCAGAATCAATTAGCACGTTTAAGTCCATTTGTGCCCCCGACTTAGGGATTATAAGTTTGGCAGCCAGTGAAAAAGGCGGGATTTGTCGACTCACCATCGGGTCGTTCTCTCCTTCGTCGCTGTCAAAGGAGGGTAGAGCAGGGGCGGGTCCACCCAGAGTCCCAACGTCCTCCTGTGTGTGGGGTGTAATCTGGGTAACAGGTTCTTGTGTGACCCGGTTGGATTTTTCTCTCGTTAGCCGCTGGGCAGGTTTCCTTCTCATTGCTGGTTCCGGTCTGCTCTGCAGTCGGGGGTAGGGGACTGGAAAGGTTGCCGCTCGATATTCCTCTTGTCCACACCGAAAACACTTATTTGACGGGCCTGCAAGTGGTCTGGGTCTCTCAGCCATCGCAGTAGTTGGAGGTTTTCGTGGGGGTGATTGCTGTCCGGGTTGCTCTGGCGGCTGCTCAGATTCAGGTGGGGGAGGCTTCTTATAGCGGGCGAGCTGAACGTCTAGCTTCACTGCTGCCTGGTACCATTCTTGCAGCTGATCATGTACGGCTCGATAGATGCAGGCCTGAGAGAGGTGATCGTCTAATCCAGTGGTTCTCAACCTTTTTAATGCCGCGACCCCAACCGGTCGTAAGTCGAGGACTAAACCGGTTGTAAGTCGAGGACTAAACCAGTCGTAAGTCGAGGACTAAACCGGTCATAAATCGAGGACTATTGGCCAGCATTCAGCTCCTGATGGGTTGGCCAGCATTCAGCTCCTGAAAGGGACGGGCCCTCGCGGCGTGTACGCACCAAGGCGGGGGACGCGGCCGGCTCCGCATCGACCGTTCGCCGTCTCTGCCTCGTCCGGCTGGTGGTCGACCGGGTCGGGTTCCCTCCATTCCGTGGGCGGCCTTTTCCCCCAAAAAATGGCAGACAGCCTTGCTTGGCGACCCCCGTGAAATGGTCTATCGACCCCAAATGGGGTCCCGACCCACAGGTTGAGAACCACTGGTCTAATCCCTCAATGAAGTGATGGATTACGGATTATTCAGGCCACCCCTCTATTCGACCTGCTATCTTGCGAAATTCCCGCACGTACTCCAGGGCAGGTCTGCCGGCTTGTTTTATTTTGTGGATCTGTTCTCTTGCTTTAAGACCAATAGATGGGTCCTCAGATCTTTCCCTCAGCCCTAGGAGGAAGAGGTGGGGGTCCTCCAATTCGGGGGCTTGCTCATTATATAAATTGTTCAGCCGTTCGGATGCTTCTCCCTCTAGCTGGACGCAATCACATCGACTATGGCCCCCGAGTCCGGGTAGAGATAGGCCCAGCAATTCAAATGAGAACGCACTTGGTTGAGGAAAAAAACCAGCTTCTCTGGGTCCCCATAGAAGGTTGCTCTGAAAAGTGGTGCAATCATAGGCTGTTGGGGCCCCCACTGTGGCTGTTGCTACTGGCCCCATCCTGGCTGCAGATTTATGCCCAGGGGTTGCACGTTCGGGGGCTGTGGCCAATCTCCCTGCTGTGGTCGGTCTCCTGGCTTCTGCACCATCCCAAGCTGTTGCAAGGCCTCTATTAGCTGTGGCAAGCTCAGAGATCGCTGACCATCCATCTGCTGGGGAACCCAATCTACCCATTGCTGCAGATGCCTCAGACTGGATTTCCCTCCCTCCAGGAATTGATTTCTGCTTTTCACCTCTGAGTTTTGAAATCTTTCCAGTGACTCACCCAAAACTTCGTTATCTCTCCATTCTGCTTTTGAAGTCTTTGCTCCCAGCTGGGAGATCTGCCAGAGTTCTTTCTCCCCCGGCTGGCCGGCTGCCGCTCCACTCCCTGGGGAAGCTGCTGCTGCTGAGGTGCTGGCCTCAAGCCATCTTTCTCCTTTCATAATGAGATCTCCCCGGATCTTTGTCAGTCTATCACATTTAGTTTAGGAATAGTGATTGAGGCCCGGGACGTCTTAATTGGTTTAAAAAATTTGTGGATCTTGGCATGATGTCATGTGTCTGACTAATGAAACACTTCAAAGAACTTTCAGGCATGGTTTAACCTAATAAGCCTTTATTAGTGTAAAGGAGTGTCAGCACGGCATGGTGAATGCCAATATCTGAATTTCCCTTCCTTTGCACATAACATTCCAGGCATTTCCCCTCCCCTATTTTGGGGTCATGATTCACATCTTCCAATTAACCTGGAGGGCAAAGATTCACTTCCGTTCCCTTTCGTGGGCTTTTCTCTCCTCCCTCATTCTCATCTGAATTAACTCTAAAAGTACCAGACAGTTCTGCATATTTTGTCAAAGCAAGAATATTCAATATTAGCAGCGTTGACATTAGCTTTTTTGGCTGCTGCTGCACATTGCTGGTTCATGGTTAAGTAATTGTCCACTAGGACTCCAAGGTCCCTCTCACAGTTACTCTTTTTAAGCCAGGTCTTGCCCAATCTGTACTTGTATCTTTGATTTTTGCTACCTAAATGTAAAACTTTGCTTTTCTCCACATTGAAACTCATTTTGTTGGATAGGGCCCATTGTTCAAGTTTGTCAAGATCTTTTTGGATCCTGAGTTTGTCTTCTGGGGTGTTGGGATACTCCTGCCAGTTTGGTGTCATCTGCAAATTTGATGAGTTCTACAATTCCCTCATCTAAGTCATTGATGAAGATATTGAAGAGTATTAGGCCTAAGACGGAACCTTGTGGTACCCCACTGCTTACTTCTTTCCATGTGGATATAATGCCATTGAGGACTACTCGTTGAGTACGGTTTGCCAGCCACCTACAAATCCATCTGGTGGTGATGTTGTCTATATTCCACCTTTTTCTAGCTTACCAAGGAGTAGGTTGTGGTCTACTTTATCAAATGCCTTACTGAAGTCTAAGTATATTACATCCACAGTATTTCGCTAGTCTATTAGTTTAGTCACTTTGTCGAAGAATGAAATAAGATTGGTTTGGCATGATCTGTTTTAACAAACCCATGCTGGCTACTAGTTATAACTTTGTTTGCTTCTAGCAGATCTGTTTTTTATTATCTTTTCTAGGATCTTCCGAGGTATTGATGTTAAACTGATTGGGTTGTAGTTTCCTGGGTCCGTTTTTTCCCCTTTCTTGAAGATGGGAACCGCATCTGACCTTTTCCAATCCTCAGATACTTTCCCGACGCTCCAGGATTTTTGAAAGATGTGGTGCAATGGTTCTGAGATAACATCTGCCAGCTCCTTCAGAACTCTGGGATATAATCTGTCGGGGTCGGATAGGTGTTCTCTTTCCATTTTCTTGCTTATTTTAATTTTTGTTTCTAATTTGTCTTTTGCAGTAGTTTTTTTGGTGTGTTGGACTATAGTTTCTTTTTGTGTGAAGCTGCTTGGCGATAGCCTTGTAGCCCATTCCACTCTTGTGTAGGTCTACAATCTTGTCCCTGACATCCTTGGACAGCTCTTTGGTATTGGCCATGATGGAGAGTTTGGAATCTGATAGATTGATTGCTTGCTTCTGTTGACAAGTGTCTTTTATACAGGTAACAAGCTGAGATTAGGAGCACTCTCTTTAAGAGAGTGTTCCTAATCTCAGCTAGTTACCTGTATAAAAGACGCCTGGGAGCCAGAAATCTTGCTGACTGATAGAGGATCAAATTCTTATTTCACTCAGTAAAATTGAAATCAATTTATAACTTTTTTGAAATGATTTTCCTGGATTTTTTTGTTGTTATTCTATCTCTCACTGTTAAAACAAACCTACCATTAAAATTATAGACTAATCATTTCTTTGTCAGTGGGAGAATATACAAATTCAGCTGGGCATCAAATAAGTTTTTCCCTCACTGTATGTGGTTCTTTTAGGAAAGTTGATGATAACTTTTTCTTTCATAAGATGGAAGAAGGCACAAGAGGTTTAGCTACCCTTCACTTCTTACTGACCATTAGGAAAGTACCAGGAAGAAGAATATCATGTAATGCTTAGTTCTTCATTTCAAGGAAAACTGAGTGTAAACAGGTATCCTGGATATTAACAAAGTGAATTCCAAGAATAATAATAAGTAGGCAGGAGAAGTTAATAAGGAGAGGAACTGAATATGTCAAAATGTTGTCAAGTATGGAAGAAACGTTAGCACTTTTTAACTTCATTTTTGTTCACTCCTATCCATTTCACCAGGGAAAGAGCAAGGTGCAATAATAGGACTGACATATAACCCACTGACTATCTCTCTTGACTCTGAATGAATTTAAATCTCCTATGTTCAAATGGAGAAAAAGAGACCCAGAAAGCTAATGAGGACAGACTGGATGAACCAGGAATGTTTAGCCTTGAGAAGAGAAGGCTGAGGAGGGACATGACGGTGCTCTTCAAATACTGGATGATCAAGACCAAAATTCTGCTCCACAGTGCAGGATGCAAAATTATGGATTTAAGTTCCAAGAAGGCAGATTCCAATTAAATGCTAGAAAACAATTATAACAGCAAAAGTTGTTCAATAGCAGAACTATTTTACCTTAATGAAACCATGTATTGGGGATGCTCTGATTTGAACAGAGCATTAATGAGCAGAGGCTAGGACTCAGTGGCCTACATGGCCCCTTTCAACTTAATAATTCCAAATCTTTCCTTAGCAGAGTATCATGCAACAAAAATAGGAAGGTCAATGGGAGAAAGTATATATGAATACAATATGTGAAGACTGCTTTCACTTAAGAGGTTATGGTATCCACTAAGTACTGACTCAAAGCAAAATATGTTTACAATACATAGTCCATACTGACTTACCGATGTCAATCTGTTCAACAGCTTCTTGTATAGTAACATTTGGGGAGGCCACTGTTTTGACAAACGGGTAGAGATTGCAAACTACAATTCTAAAAAAAGAAGCATGGAGTAACTTTAAATTAAATTCAAAAGACACAACTGTCATTTGCATGACTCTCTGCCAACAAAATAATTTTTTATCTTGTCTCAATGTAATGCAACTGTTATTTTATCCCTGCTGTAGCCCATGAAGAATCTTTCCTGAATCATCACCTGAAAATTGCTTTCAGGCAGGTTGACACTGGTGCTCTGATGATGGGGATCTTCCTAGTTTCTATCAAGTATGGCTAAGGAAGAGCACTACAATAAGTCAAGGTAAGAGAACATTTCTGTGAGCATGGGTTTCCTGCTGACTAATACATGCTGCTAACATTATTACATCCTTCAGATTTCACTAATTGGATGTTTTGGAACTTGCCTACATCATACCAACAGACTGCCTCCATTATATGCTGTTTCTAGAATGTTTGCCAACTAGGGAAAAATAAATAAAGAGGGAATAGTCCCAGTAATGATAATTTATCAGATACAGTGCACTTCCAAAGAGGATGCTATTCATACACCATATTGAAAAGCATTTTGAGCCTTTTGGCTGCAAATGAATTTGACTTTGAATATTGAAAAAAGTTTTTCAGAATACTGAAAATACTGAAAGGTTAGAAAAGCCATACTCTAACTTTTACTTTCACCATGACTGCCTTCAGTTATAAGTCTCCACACTCCTGGCCTTCTGGAAGAATCTGAAAACTAGGCTCTGCATACTATGTTGGGGGTAGCTGACCAGGTAGAGAAGATCCCCAGCCTGAGGCTATCAATCACCTTGTTTTTTTTAGTTTTTCTATTTAACTTTCCTAATTTTAATTGCATTCTTTACCTTTTTTACTTTTTATTATACCGAAAACCACCCAGAATTGCTGTATTAGTGAGATGGGTGCATAAACATTTAATAAATAAAAAACCCAAGCATTCTATTTGCATATTTTTCTGGAATATTTGTGACTCCAATACTGAATTCACCATGTGTAAGTTTTCTTTCAATATTTGATTAAAGAAAGGGGCAAAAGTTACGCAGTGGCTGACTAAGGAGAGTGGGAGACCAACATCTCAGCATCAAAGACTGGCCCTGACACTTTGCCCTCTCACGTCTGAGGTTGACTTACGTGTTGAAATTCAAATAAAGCTAAGTAAATCTTAAAAGGGCATATTTGCCAATGCTTCAAAGTAAATGATGAGAAGTCAAGATTTGTTCATTTCTTTCACAATTACAAATCCCTCCCTTTCACAAAAAAGGCATCAATTCTGAAAATGTGCACTTACAGGGGGGGGTACTTTATAGTGAAAAACAAACTTTAATCTCTATGCAAAGTTAACTTCCATCAATTGATATCAAAGGTTGACTTCATAATTATTTATTAACCCCCAACCACCCTTTTTACCTTACAAGGCTGAAATCCAATTTCTCCATGTCAGCTTTATCTTGTGGAATGTCACGAGCCAGGATGCCTAGTTTTTGTGTGAGGAAAAAGAGAGGCTCAGAAAATGTAAAAGACAGTCCAGGCCCTTGCTAAAGATTGCCAACGGGAAATAGCAGTAGGATTTATACTAAGAAAATCATATGAAAACAGTTGGTGTATGAAGAAAAAAAAAGTACCATCACATTCTCTTCTAAAGGTTTTACTCTTGAAAGTAAGCTGGCTTCTTTTCTTTTAACCCTAGCCATCCCAATATTGCTTTGAAACAAGCCAAGAAGTTGTAAATATATTAAAAATGTCACCTGAGAAACAGTATCTGCAATGCACACTATTTTAAATTATTCTATAGAAGATTTATTTTCAGCCTTTGATGTGTGAAACAAGGTATCAGAGATAAAATGCTTTCTCCTGTCACGCACATCTATCATGCTGAAAAATGCATTCATATGGAAGAATCCTTTATGACAAGTTCCCAGCTTGCAGTCTGGATGCAGCTGGGAGACAAGTTAGCTGTCTGAATAACAGCAATTTTAGATGGCTGTTTTTGAAATGCCCTGGACTTCCAATCCTGAATCCCTTCATCCTTCCTATTTTGATTTAAATGATGAGATGCTAAAGGCAACAGGTTGAGGAAGGCTGCTATAGATTAACTGAAACTCCAATCAATCCATCTTTTTGCAGCTCCATGCAAATTACAGTATCAATTTTATGTAAGAGAATCTGTTTTTTATTATTAGCTGTTTTAGGACCCTAATAAAGTACTAATTCATTCACAACAGAGTAACATACCTGCATGCACTGCAGGATGAAGAGTTTTCACACGTCCTCCAAGCATTTCTGGAAAGCCAGTAAGATCGGAAACATCTCTGTTCCAAAAAGAAAGGAGAAGTCAAAAACATTATGTAGCACCTACAGCATTCATATAACAAAAGGCTTCAGTTTTGCTGCCTTCAGCATCTAGGCTTCAGTTTTGCTGCCTTTTTAGACTGCTGTTTTATTATTTACAAGAATACGTTAAGTCGTGCATCAAAAGCAAAATGTCTGCTGTACGAAATAAAGAATGGTGGATACCATTTACTTGTGTCAACTTACTTCATGTCAAATTGGAATTCTTGGGAAAAAGTGGAGGGGTTAATACTTTTGGCCACGTTGGAACCACCTGAGAACATTTTCTACTATGTTCTATGTTCTCCTTCAGATTGTAGCTTGGTGTAAATTTTATTGATTTGCTCCATAGGTTGTTCCACTGGGTTTTTTCTTTGAAATTTTGCATCTATTTTATCAATTCTTTATTTGTTGTGTCTGTATTGTTTGTAAATGCAGCCTAATAAATTATTTTGATTCTGTATAAATATTTCAAATTCTGCCATTTTTCTTAGGGTCTCTCCTCCTTCTCCAAAATTGCCTAAGATTTTTTTAGCTATTTGGAAATACATTAGCCGTGATAGATTCCTTCCTTTACTAAGCAATTATTGATGCGTCTTTAGTCTATTACATGGGTCTAGATATTAGCATATGTAATCATATTTTTAAAATATTTTTCTTAATTAACAATTAATTAAATATTCATATTTATATCCTCCCCCAGGAAGGAAACAGGCAGGCACCTGATTTTGCCAAATGTACCAGTGACAAGAAGTAAAGTAGCTCAGACTTTCCCAAATAAAAAAAGGCATGTGTTGGTGATTGGAGATTCACTATTTAAAGGAACAGAGACAACAATCTGTAGACTAGACAAATTCTTAAGGGAAATGTGTTGTCTTCCAAGTGCAAAGATTAAAGATGTGATGGAGAGGCTCACCAAAATAAGCCAGCCTGTCAATTATTATTGCTTTCTCCTCTTTCATATTGGGACAAATAATACTTCTAAGACTCTGAAAGCAATTTTAATGGACTATGACAGTGGTGGCGAACCTATGGCACGCGTGCCAGAGGCGTCACTCAGAGTCCTCTCTGTGGGCATGTGTGCCGTTGCCCCAGCTGAGTTCGCCAGAGAGCACATGACGTTTGGAAGTGACAGGGCAGGAAGTGAGCGAGTAAGCAGCGTTGCCCCCCCCGGGATGCCTCGAAGATGTTGAGGGACTGGCCCCGGCCACGCTCATCCAGTCTGCCGTGATCACTGGGCCACGCCCACGCCCCTCATGAGGGCACCACAATGTTGATGCAGCCCTGGCACTTTGGGATAAATAAGTGGATTTGGGGTTGCAGTTTGGGCACTCGGTCTCTAAAAGGTTCGCCATCACTGGACTATGAGCAACTAAGCAGGATAGCCAAAGAATTAGGAGCACAGGTGGTCATCTCATCTATACTGTACTTCCAATTGAAGGTCAATATCCAATGAGGGAACAGAGGATTTTAGAAGTAAATTGCTGGTTCAAAGGATGGTGCCACCATGGGAACTTTAGCTTCTTGACCATGTATCCACTACTTACAGGAAGGGCCTCTAGTAAGAGATAGACTGCACCTGACAAGGAAAAAAAAGCATGTGTTTGGAAACAACTTGCTCAGCTCATTTGAAGGATTTGAAAGGGGGAAGGTGGGGGAAGGTGACCAACTTATAGGACTAAACCACAAATCAGATAGCGTCAGACAAAGGGATAGCATCGAGTAGTACCACTTTACACCATGCTGGTGAGACCACACTTGAAATACTGTGTCCCGTTCTGGTTATCACGATACAAAAAAATGTTGAGACCCTAGAAATAGTCCAGAAAAGAGCAGCAAAGATGATAAAGGGCCCGGAGGCTAAACTGCATGATGAACAATTGAGAGCTAGATATGTTTAGCTTATCAAAGAGAAGGATTGGGGGGACATGATAGTTGACACAAAAAAGGAAGTATCTACAGCAGGGGTTCCCAACCCTTGGTCCGTGGACCAGTACCGGGCCGTGGCATGCCAAAAACCAGTCCGCGCAAACGAGCAAAGCCCCATCTGCGGGAGGCAGGCAGTACATGAAACCATGCCCCCTTTGGTCCACAGAAAAACCTCTCTCCACGGAAACGGTCCCTGGTGCTCAAAAGGTTGGGGACCTCTGCTCTTTAGTGCATGGCATTTACAGAGGTCATGCAATCACGGATATACAAGCGATATATCACTGATATACAATATATATATATATGATCAATGGAACAGGGTGCTGTTGTACACACACACGTATGTATGTATGTATGTATGTATAAATCATATACTATGATTCTATGAAATCATTAGACATCATTGTTTTGAGGAATTACAATTTTTTCACAGAGTGATTATGATTGTCAGTTTTTATATTTCTAGCATATACATTGAGCCAGTTTGGATAAGGTGGAAAAGGTGATGGGCTAGAAACCAGGAGACTGCGAGTTCTAGTCCTGCCTCAGTTATGGAAGCTAGCTAGGTGACCTAGGGCCAGTCACTTACTCTCAGCCCAACCCACCTCACAAGGTTGTTGTGGGAAAATAGGAGGGACAAATATTATTGGTCATCTTGAGTTAAAGGCAGGATACGAATCTAGTAAATAACAAATGTCTCATTTAGCAACATAAATATTTATTTAAGTAATTTTGCTCCATTTTATGACTTTTCTTGCCCCAGTTGTTAATCACTGTAGTGATTAACTTAGTAACAAGGCTATTAAGTGAATCTGGCTTCCCTATTGACTTTGCTTGTCAAAAGGTCACAAAAGGTGATCACATGACCCCAGGACATTGCAACCGTCATAAATATGAATGAGTTGCCAAACATCTGAATTTTGATGACATGATCATGGAGAGGCTGCAATGGTCGTGTGAAAAATGTAATGATATTGTAACTTTGAACGGTCACCAAGTGTGTTATAAGTCGAGGACTACCTGTACACAAAAGTGATTTTTCCAAGATGCAATGAGGAATTCCTATTTTCTTTTTCAGATGAAAGACAAAAGTTAAAAGAAAATTATTTATTCCAAGCTAGCCTCATAATTCAATGTGTGAGAAACTGAATGCAAGTAGTGAAGTCCAATCTTATAGAAACTGGCTTGGAGACAGAAATACGTACCTTTTAAGGAATAATTAATGGTACAATGTCTGATTTTGAAAAACTAAAGTTGCTCCTAACTTATATCTCAAAGTGGATGCCATTATTGATACCTACACTTCTTTTGCACTTTCCACAACATTGTAATATTCCTTTTTTGTTCTTTTCTGATACTTTTTAAGATGGTGTATGCATTACATAATATTACTAGGGCATAGAATTACAGCCTCCAGTTGAGTAGCAAACCCCAACTTTAAAGAAAACAAGTACCCATGGGAGATATATAATGCTTACTCTTAGAATAATACTAAATACAATAAAATGTTGATTTAATGGACCATTTTGGAGAGAAAGGGTATCTCTTTATGTCACTGATGTAATTTTTAGCACATGTAATAGATACTGTTATCTGCATCAATTTACCTCACTTATCTACAGGTAGTCCTCAACTTACAACCATTCATTTTATAACCATTCAAACTTGAAAAAAGAGACTTGACTCTAATTTCACACTTATGACCACTGCAGCATTCCCATGGTCATGTGATCAATATTCAGACATTTGGCAACTGGCATATATTTTTAAGATAAGATAACCTTTATTGTCATTTTTTGCTATGAACTCACTGGCCCACATTAAAAATGAAGTCCTGTTGCCTGCTCTCAAAAGAAAGTATATATCTACCCATATACATACCGGTACATAACACACATATATACACATGCTATATCTATCTATCTATCTATCTATCTATCTATCTATCTATCTATCTATCTATCTCTTTCTTTCTTTCTTTTTCTTTTTTTCTTTTATACCTACACCCATACATATATATATACATATAAATATTAATCACTGCCCATTTTGAATACATAGAAGAAAGAGGAAACTTATGGTGGTTGCAGTGTCCCAGGGTCATGTAATCACCTTTGGCGACCTTCTGACAAGCAGACTCAATGGGGAAGCCATTCACTTAAAAACCATGTTGCTAACTTACAGTAACTGCAGTGATTCACTTTGAAACCGTGGCAAGAAAGGAAATAAAATGTTTTATGTCCTTTCATTACATTTTTAATGTAAGCATTTGTAATTTTTGGTTATCTGTATACAATGATTTGATGTTTTCTGGAATGTTTGTTTTGGTCTTTGATCGTAACATTCATAACATATTTCAACTATTTTATTCTAATCACAGGATCATCCATTCAGATATATCTATTAAATTATATTAGCCTTTCTGTGCTAAGAGCTCAAGCTCATCTTAATTATTTCCCAGTCTGAGTATTAGTGGAGACACACAAATTGCATGAAAATTCTTTACCATATTGAGGCATGAAACTTTTGTTTGGGGTATTTAACTTCCAATCACGTTTTTCATCTTCAAACCCCTCAAGTTTCAATTTTTATCTTTTAAGCAAATCTATATTTCAGTTACACATATTTTTGTAATCCCTGTAAGGCTCAACCCATCTCCCAGCAGTCTATCATCATCCAGACTTTTGACACAGAAACCAAGTATTTCCTGCAACCCCATTTGTATAACCAGTAATTCCCTGAATTCTTATATTCCTTCCCCATCCTCTTCAAGACTGGGAAAAAGGATTAAAGTAGACTTTGTGAGCTCCCAGTATCTTGAACTTCCTTTACCTTCAAAATCCAAGATGACTGGGTTGTAGTTGCTCACAGAAGTATACTCTGTGGGCACAATTATTAGGCAACTTGTATTTTGGAGGATAATTTTTCTTATTGAACAACTGCAGTGCTCTTGGTCAATCCAAAATGCTAATAAATCTCAAACCTGAATATTTAAGAAAGTAAAAGTGAGATTTTGGCTGTCTTAGGAGAATATCTGTGGGTGCACAATTAT